TCCCCCCACTCACAGGATTTGCTAAGTAAGAACCACATAATTACCAATCCCAGAGAAACACAAAAATATCCAACATTCTGTAATGCAACTACAAAATTGCTTACAGAGTGCCATTAGAAGCCATAACCATAAAGCTGTCTTTGGAGAAGGAGCAAGGACAAAAGGCTGAGCATTCGCAGACGCAGGTGGCTGCCTTTCCTCACCCCTTCTCTGTACCGCGCAGCACTTCCTGCCAAGGTGCAGGCATCAGAGCACAGCTCAGAGCCCTTCTGGCTCCTCTGGCCCTGGCCCTGATTTGGGCTGAGCTTGTGGTTGGTTCTTCAGCCCCAGGTCTCCATCTTCAGTGGGCGTGTGTTCGGAGGTGGCAACCCTCCTGAGCCTCACGTGCACACAGGGCTCTGACTTCTGTGAACAGCTCCATGGTCAAGTGGAAGGAGCTTGGGCTTTGGCATCGGATAGGCCTGGATTTGAATGTGGGCTCTGCTCTGACCTGTGCAACCTTGGGCAAATTATTTTACCTCTCTAAATCCAAGCCTTAGCCATAAAAAGAAAACACGTCCCAATTTTCAGTACTATTGTAAGAATTAAACGACAAAGTGGTGCCTGGCATCTTTACAAGCCCAGCCAAGACCCAGAATAAAGCAAGGAGAAGTCATGAACAAGGTTGAGATAAAATTAATTACCTCCCATTTTGTAATTCAACTTCTTTTTTTTTTTTTTAATTTTTTTTTTTCAACGTTTATTTATTTTTGGGACAGAGAGAGACAGAGCATGAGCGAGTGGGAGGGGCAGAGAGAGAGGAGAGCAGAATCGGAACAGCCTGAGCCCAACAGAGCTCATGAGCGTTTCAGCCCAGAAGTCATGCTGGGGCTCGAACTCCCGGACCTCGAGATCGTGACCTGGCTGAAGTCGGACGCTTAACCGACTGCGCCACCCAGGCGCCCCTGTAATTCAACTTCTATTGATTGCATCCACGTTATTTCATATCAGCTTAATGCACCAAATCCCAGCAGTAAGATTTGGCCTCATATATTTGGTGGGGGGGGGGGGGCAGATATTCAAACGTACTGAGGACCTCACTGCTCTGCCTCCCAAGTTTTTAATGTCAACAAGCAATTCAGAAGGCTTTCACCTCAAGAGGCAGCATGTGGGGCTAGCCTCACTGAGGACAGGAATGGTTGGGGTTGCCTCCTGTTCCTCTCTCTTTTTAGTTAAACCTGAGAGCTCCATTTCCCCCTGCCCACCACCTAGAGCAAACAGGGACTCCATCTCCTGGCTACCAAGGAAGCCTGACACTCTGGAACAAAAACCAACAGACGTGTTCTTTGGAAGAATGAAAGCTCTAAGCAAACAGTTTAAAACTCATGTGAAGTGTGTGTATGCGTGAGCAAATACAAGAACAGGGCACTTGTATGACACGCCAATTTTCTTTAATGGATCGGCATTGAACTTCTTATCACCAAGAGTAAACACGCTTAGTGCTAAATATACCCTTCAAATCAAATCCCCTGGATTAATTCATTTTAAATCCGGAATATGCCAGGCTCAACAGCTGCCACATTTCCCAGGAGGTTTACATAGCACAGTGCACACTTGGTTCACTGGCCCTGCCATCAGTAGGTGAATCTGTTTGGCTGTATTTAAACCTGGGAAAACGGGACAGGAGAAAGGCGTCCCAACCCAGGAAAGCCCCTGTCCTCTCCTTGTGTATCTCGTCTTCAGTACATTTACCTAAGATGCTGGCATTCTTTAATTCCCCTCTGACCACGAGGCAAGTCCAAACAGCCTTTTCTTACACAAAACGTGCAATAAAGAGGACAGAATGCAGTCAAGGTAAGAAGGGAGGGGCTGTACTGTGATAAGCCCGAGAAAAAAGCACAAATGGAAAGAGAACAGTAAAGTCAGAGGTTTTCTGGCATCTTTCAAGTGAAAATCTTCAAGCAGAGCAGCCTTTTCTTTTTTTTTCCAGTTTGAAGTTCTTACCAGGGTATTTCGTTTTCATATTACCTAAAAGGAAGGGAATCCTTTACATATAATCTGCTATAATGTGATACAGCTGTAACATGCATTTTATCATTGATCTCCACAACTGATTTGCTGATCTGGCATCTGAAAGGGACTCCATCCCCGTGGCCTGGCCCACAACTATCCCACTACTGCACTTGGGTCAGGAGCACGGGACTGTTCGAAGGTTGAGGGTATGAGTAGGGCACTGATCTTACACTAGGAAACCATCCAATTAAGTGAACCAGGCCATGAATCACAATATTTGATGAACCGAGGCTCAGAGAAGCATTGAAAATTGCCAGGCTCTGAGTGCCTACATAATGGATAATACCCAATTCTCAATTCTCACACGGCCCACGAGTATAGGCTATGTCTATAGTTACCTATCAGTGTATACAATGGATTTGGGCTGTCCATCATTTGGACTGTTTCCTGCTTCCTGTTCTAATGTTTCTTGTGTCCTTGTGTTCCTTTTAAAAATAGCTTCACTGACACAGAATTCACAGACCATACAATCCATCCACTTGTGTAATATATCCATTGTGTAACTGGCACTACAATCTAATTTTAGAACATTTTAATCACCCCAAAATGAAACCCTCTACCCATGTCCCCCCCCGTTTCCTCCCATCCTTCTAGCCCAAGGAAACCACCAGCCTACCTTCTGTATCTATGGATCTGTCTATCCTGAAAATTTCATATAAATGGAATCACACAATGTGTGATCCTCTGTGCCTGACTTCTTTCACTTCATGTAACAGTTTCAAGGTTCATCTACATTGTGGTACGCATCAGTACTTCATTCCTTTTTATAGCCAATAATATTGCCTTGAATGGATATACTACATTTTATTAACTCATTCTCAGTTGATGGACATATGGTTGTTTCTACTATATTTATTTATTTACTTATTTTGAGAGAGAGAGCCAGGAAGGGATGAGAGAGAGAGAATCCCAAGCAGGCTCTGCACTGTCAGCACAGAGCCTGACTCGGGGCTTGAACTCATGAACTGTGAGATCATGACATGAGACGAAATCAAGAGTTGGACACTCAACCAACAGAGCCATCCAGGTGCCCCAGGTTGTTTCTACTTTTAAGCTATTATTAATCAAGAAATATTCACAGATAAGTTTTTGGTGGACATGTGTTTTCATTTCTCTCAAGTTAGGAGTAGAACTGTTGACTCATATGGTAGCTATGTTTAACATTTACGGTCCTTATGGTCTTTTAACCTTTTCATGATGACAACAATCTTCAAACTATCATTTATGAGGTAAAAAAGTTCTGAAAATCCTCCTCTTTCCCCACAGGAAAAAACACTGTTAATGGCTTGGCATACATACCCTCAAATTTGTCAATGTATAGAATAATATATCATGTTTACAATTATTATTACATAAATGGGATGATATCATACATATTTGTGTATCTCACTCTTGTCGCATACTAGATCTTGAACACCTTTCCACACCCATGTGGAGCATGGGCCACATGTACTACTCTCTCCTCAGGCATAGGCACATGTACATTTTCATTACTGGCAAGAAGTTATAATGACAAATATGTTGATTAAGGCCATTTTGTTTGGTCATCTCATTTTGTCCTATATGTTCCATGTAGTTGTAGGTGATTTTGTTTCCATAAATTCACTGGCACATCCCATTGAGGACTCCTTTTGTTGACTGGTTTACAAAGAAATAGGTCTAGGCCATGAAATTGGAAATTAAATTGGACCTAATGCTAACAGGCATAAAAAAAAAAAAAAAAAAAAAAAAAAAAAAAAAGGAAACCTGTGTGGTATCGAGATACCCTGCAAGATGGACTTGGCTTATCCCTCGACCACTAGATTTCTTATTGACCATCTGATTAAATTATAAAATTGGTATATGAATACATGCATAATTAAATAATATTTACAAATAAGAGACATGGAGAAAGTTCTCTACCTCCCCAAATCCACCCTTCTCTACGGAATTTTAACAGGTTGCCACGTATCCTTCCAGATCTCTTTCTATTTTCATAAACCTGTAATTTTTTTTACATGAACACAAGAGCATGCATATTATTTTGTGACTTTTTCATTCACTTGACATTATATACTGTAAATCTTTCCAAGTCACAGATACAGATTGCTGCAAGGTGAATCTGAAATAGTACAGCTGAACACCTCACAAAAATTGAACTGTGGTAGAGCCATAGTAATTCATTGTCAGAGAAAAAAAGGTCATTTTAGAAACAAGTGAAAAAAATAATTTGGTAGGGGTGCCTGGGTGGCTCAGTTAAGCATCCAACTTCGGCTCAGGTCATGATCTCCCATTTTGGTTCAGGAGTTCAAGCCCCACATCAGGCTTTCTGCTGTCAGTGTGGAGCCCACTTGGGATCCTCTGTACCCCTCTCTCTCTGCCCCTCCCTCTCTCTCAAAAAAAATAATAATAATAAACATTGGGGCACCTGGGTGGCTCAGTCAGTTGAGCGTCTGACTTCAGCTCAGGTCATGATCTCACGGCTTGTGGGTTCAAGCCCCGCGTCAGGCTCTGTGCTGACAGCACGGAGCCTGGAGCCTGCTTTGGATTCTGTGTCTCCCTCTCTCCCTACCCCTCCCGTGCCTGTGCGCGCTCTCTCTCAAAATAAATTTTAAAAATTTAAAAAAAAAACATTAAAAAAATTTTTTAATAATAATTTGGTGTATTTAGGAGAGCAAGCTCCAAAATTAAACCACACTCATGTGTTGTGTATACTGTATACCCAGCACACTCCTAGCAGCGGGGGAACTATCCAAAGTACCTGACGTGATGAGGAAACTCACAGGCAGAAAAACACTCACCCAGGAAGAAACACAGGGCCGAGCGGGGTGGCCAAAGAGGAACAGCCCCTTTGCAGATGAAGCGCCCTGAGTGGGGGACGGCCGTCCATTTCCTTGGCTCTGCCTCGTCTCCAGTTTCAGGCTTCAGAGCTGCAAAGACATGCATCGGGACGGAACAGCGACACTTACTTTGGGCCGAGTGTCCACGACGTAAATGAAGTCACTTCCTGGATTGGCTTTCCTGATGGCCTGAAGCATCTGCTCGTCCTCCAGGCAGCGGGCACTGAAGCCGGACAGAGGCTGGCTGCTCCGACAGATGGAGGCCTGAGGGGAGAGGCCGCGGCCACAGCATCAGAAAGCGTGCCACTGTTCCCACGGACAGCTGCAGACTATGTCCCCAACCATGAGCCCCGGGCTCACTTACACCCCACACCAGCTTGTAGAAGTGTCTGAATGCCTTCCAAAAATCCAGCTTGGTTTCTTTTTAATGCAGGCCAAAGAAACCACAACAAGGGCAAACAGTGCAAAGTTTCTCGGTGTAAGAAATTAGGAGTATGCATGGATGTTGAGATAGGACCTAACTGATGAAATGTAAAACCATCTAAGTAGCCTACTTTCACCGAGGGTGCCTGGGTGGATCAGTCAGGTAAGCGTCCAACTTTGGCTCAGGTCATGAGCTCACGGTTCGTGGGTTTGAGCCCCGTGTCGGGCTCTGTGCTGACAGCTCGGAGCCTGGAGCCTGCTTCTGATTCTGTGTCTCCCTCTCTCTGCCCCTCCCCTGCTCACATTCTCTCTGTCTCTCAAAAATGAATGAACGTTAAAAAAAATTAAAAATAAATAAATAGCTTATTTTCCTTTCCACAGGTATTATTTTATTTTCTTGAAGGTAGAAATACAAAATAAATAACTATTCTCCTAAAATTTACAGGATACTTGCTAATAGCAGGACTAGTTAAAAACACGTTATTTTGTAATGCTTTCCAAATTTTTTATCAGCTCATTTAGAAACAGATACCAAAACCCAACTCTAATGCTAAATGGGAACGTTTTCACTATGAGGAAAGCCCAGGCAGCTGGTAGCTCGGGCACCTAAGGTCAGCAGGCATACACCCCGATGGCCCCAGTGTGAGAGAAGTGGGGGGCTTCTCTGGAATCGGCCTGCATTCTATTCTGCAATTTCCCAATTCTGTGATTCTGACAGAGTAAACCGTATCACCAGACAACATAGACAACAGCGCAAAACTTTCCCTGCATTATTAGGTGAGCATGGATACAACCTCGCAGCTATAAAACTTATGCTTCTGTGGCAAAGTATTTTTTGCGGACTTAGATGTTAACATTTAAAATAAAGGAATGACTCTCCAAGAACCTACACTGAGACTGCGAGCCCACTGGGGAAGAGGATGGAGGGCATGGTGGTCAGGGAGGAAGAGAACCCTCTAGCTCCAGGCAGGCAGGCTAAGCAGGGGAAACTCACCAAAGAGAGTCATGGCAGAGTCCACTCGGGGCACCTGCACTTCAAGTCTCTACCCCTGAAGGGACAACCCAGCTCTGAGTCCAAGCACAGCCTATGTGTCCCTAACGTTCAACCCAGGAACACCCAGTGAGGGTTTGGGTTTCCTAGGAAGACCAGGAAGCTTTGGTGGTCCTCACTGGAGAAGGCGGGAATGTTTCTCACTACCTACACCATCAACACCACCTACACCATCTACACTATCTACACCATCAACACCACCTACACCATCAATACCACCTACACCATCTACACCACCTACACCATCAACACCACCTACACCATCTACACTATCTACACCACCTACACCATCAACAACACCTACACCACCTACATCATCCTCACCATCAACACCACCTACACCATCTACACCACCTACACCATCAACACCACCTACACCACCTACACCATCAACACCACCTACACCATCTACACTATCTACACCACCTACACCATCAACACCTACACCACCTACATCATCCTCACCATTAACACCACCTACACCACCTACACCATCAACACCACCTACACCATCTACACTATCTACACCACCTACACCATCAACAACACCTACACCACCTACATCATCCTCACCATCAACACCACCTACACCATCTACACCACCTACACCATCAACACCACCTACACCACCTACACCATCAACACCACCTACACCACCTACACCATCAACACCACCTACACCATCAACACCATCTATACCACCTACACCATCTACACCATTTACACCACCTATACCATCTATACTATCTACACCACCTACACCATTACAGCTGAAGACCTGCTGGCAAGACCGAGAACCACACCACAGCCAGACACATGACCGGACAACTGCCAGAGAGTTCCAGTTGCAGTCTGTGACAGCAAGGGGCAATCACCGAGGTGGGTGAAGAACTCTGAGCCCAGCAGCCAGGTTCAGAATTCAGGAGCGAAGGGCATGGGACAGTGGCAAGCAAAGCAAAGGGGCGGCAGAGCTTCTCCAGAGTTGCACAACTCTTGAGCTGTTGGCAGAAGTGCACCTGCAACTGGAGAAGAGAGGGATGGAGGGCCTGAACACGGATGGAGATGGCCGGCAAGGGCTTGGTCCGGGAGAGAGGTGAAGCAGGGCAGGGACCAAAGGCGGGCTGGGTGACAAAAGACAAGCAACATCTGATAGATAGAAAGATAAGGGCCACCGAGGGCTTTCTTGGGGCTTTACCCGGGGCTTCTTTCTATTTCTTCTGCTCTTCGGGGGGTCAGGGCCTGCCCTGCTGCCCTGAGGGAATTCTGGCGGGTAAGAGAACAATTCAATCTAGAGCTTCAACTGGGTTAAAGAAGTACTAGTGAAGGCAGCTACCACCAAGCAATTTCTTCGACTATCAGAAGAGTTAGAGGGGAAGGAGACACCTTTAGCTGGTGAGAATGCACATACCACACCTACGCTCACTGAGCAAGTGGGACTTCCACTGTGAAATGAAACCAGGGAATGACAATGACCTGCAGGCTGACAGCCGCTAGTTTTAAGTGAAGGGTTAAGTCAGAGCAGAGTTACACCATGAAATGTGGCCAATAAATTAAACCAGATATATTAAACCCACTAAGCCAACTCTACTTTAATATTTCATAGTTATATTTTCTTAATAACCCATAGACATGCTCCACACAGAGTTCTTCCCCGCGTCAGAGGGAACATACAGCCACCAATTTTGTGTGGCACAGTAAGTAGTCTTACAGTGCTTCTGTTCGCCCTGTCCACGCCCCAGACAGTCACACTGGTGACAGACTATTACCATTCGCTGGTGGCCTTTCTTACTGATGTCACCCATCTGAGAGCAGAGGTAAAGCTCTTCCATGGTAAACTGTCATGAGCCCCTCATTTACAATGCTACTAATAATTAAAATATCCAACATTTTCTGAATGTGTGCTATATGGCAGCACTATCACAAAGCCTTTGTCATATTTTTATCTTCTCAACTACCATATGCAATAACATCTATGACTTGCTCCATTTTATAAATGAGGCAACCAAGGCACAGAGAAAGGAAGTAACTTACTCGCTGTCAATAATTAGGGCTAATTATAGCTAATAATTAGGGAAGCCAGACACTGCATCCAGGCATAATATTTTCTGATCCGGGATTCTTAGCCAAAATAATATAGCATGACAAAATCATAAGTCAGGAAGCATGATAGAGAATTAAGATGCAGCATTCAGGAAGGTCTGGCTTTTAATCCATGGTTTGCTCCCACTCACTATCTGATCTTGGGTAACTGACCTATTGTCTTTGAACCTGGGTTTTCTCATCTATAATATGAGGAAAATAGTAGCAAAACTACAGAGTGTGATGAAGTATATAACATTCTTAGAACTGTGCCTAAGACATAGTGAGTTTCAAGAACTATTAGTTATAAAAGGAGGAAAGAAGGTCTGTATTTTTCTTACGGGAAATCACCTCTTTGGGAATCTTGCAGAGTTTCCCAGAGATTTGTGCTGTGAATTTAGGAGACCACCTTAGTCACAATTTAAAGCACAACTGCTTTCTTAAAAATAATTAAAACAGAGGCGCCTGGGTGGCTCAGTCGGTTAAGCGTCCGACTTCGGCTCAGGTCATGATCTCACGGTCCAGGAGTTCAAGCCCCGCGTCGGGCTCTGTGCTGACAGCTCAGAGCCTGGAGCCTGTTTCCGATTCTGTGTCTCCCTCTCTCTCTGCCCCTCCCCTGTTCATGCTCTCTCTCTGTCTCAAAAATAAATAAATGTTAAAAAATTAAAAAAAAAATTAAAACATTTAATAAGAAAGAACAAAGGATACAGCAATTCTAAGGGCTGGTAAATAACAAACAGGCACAGGCTTCTGAACATAGTGACATTTATAATTTATACATCTGTAATTGTTATGTACAAGGCTGTCAACAGTTTGATATCCAAAGGGAGTCTGGATGGCTTTATATAACCCATAGGCAGTTCAAGGCCTAAAATTATTATTTTGCGCTGCCTGTGACATCTGGTAAAATTGGGAGGGCCAGCTCCCCTTTACATCTGCTCCTATGGACAGAGCTCCCTGGCTGGACAATTCTCCCTACGGACCAGATGTAGCTCCTGCTCAAGACTGAGCTGAGGGTTTCAGGCACCTGCCAGCCCATGGAATTAACCAAGCCAATCACATCTTCGCAGGAACCTGAGGCCACCTCACCCTCTTGGTACTACAAAGCCCGCCTCCCACAATCCCTGCTGGTTCCCTCTATTCCTGAGTGCAGCCCTGCATGGCCTGTATGGCAGCCATGTCCTCCCCTCCTGGGGTGAGTGTGCACAACAAATACACTGCTGACAACTTCATTCGTCCAGTGTCGGGTGTCATGGGCTCAGCCTTCTCTGGAGCCCTAGGGCAGGAGTCCTAATCTCATCAGCAAGTGAATAGGATATGATTTTAACACCATATATGATAAAAACTGATCCAAAAGGAATTATGTACCCTCAGCAGAGGCATTTCTATCAAAGGATTCTCCACAGGACTTCTAGTTCATGCAATGACGTGCACTCCAAGCTTCTCTTAACCTAACTATCGGGTCCCACACCCCACATTAGCCAAGCCACCTCTCCATCAGAAGTGTCTCTTTGGTAACAAAAGGATATGTGGGAAATAGTAGTTTAACTAAAGAATACGATATTCTTATTCACAAGCATAAGTTTTATTGGGATAGGAATACGTATTCTTTTTATTTTTTTAAATGTTTATTCATTTTTGAGAGACAGAGAAAGAGAGCAAGCAGGGTAGGGGCAGAGAAAGAGGGAGACAAAAAATCCAAAGCAGGCTCCAGGCTCTGAGCTGTCAGCAGAGAGCCCAACACAGGGCTCGAACCCATGAACCGTGAGATCATGACCTGAGCCGAAGTCAGCACTTAACCAACTAAGCCACTCAGGCACCCCAGGAATACATATTCTTAAGTCTATAAAGTCTGAAACCACAAAAGGGAAGAAAGAAAGATCAGCACATTTACACCATTTACACGATTTCTATCTGTTTACTTTGCATGGAAGACTGCCTGGTTTAGGTATGAGTTTTCCTAAGCAACGACAGCATGAACTGCTGCTTTGTTATCTCAAACATCTTCCATTTAACCACAGAAATCCACCCGGATCATATTTCCCTTTATAAAAATCCCTGGTTGCATCAGAAGGATTTACACAGTTAACTTTGATATTAAAACCCAAATGTTATAAAAAACAAAATGGATCATAATGCTACCTGCAGCAGAGAATTAATTCATGGGGATGGGAGAGTGGGTATGCATGTGCGGGCACGCTAAGTATTTCCCTGCAGTAACCAGCTCATCAACAACGCTTAGAAACACATCTCTGTGGGGTGCCGGGGTGGCTCGGTCAGCTGAAGATTGGACTTCGGCTCAGGTCATGATGTCTCGGCTCATGGGTTCAAGCCCCACATCGGGCTTTACGCTGACAGCGCAGAGCCTGCTTAGGATTTTGTCTCCATCTCTGCCCCTCCTCCACGCTTGTGCGCTCTCTGTCTCTGTCTCTCTCTCTCTCAAAAGTAAACAAAAAAACTTATATAAAAAAAAGAAACGCATCTCTGTTCCTTACTTTGTAAGAAGAGCTAAAACATGAAGCATTGTCTTCCTTGAAGTTCTAAATACAAGAAATCAATTATTTTAAACTATAACTGATGGCTGTTATGATTCATTTTCAAGCCTGGAGATCAAAGAATGAATGGCACACAAGAGCAGCAATGGAACAATGAGAATCTGAGGTCAGCAGGTGAAGAGGCTGGCCTCTGAGCTCTAATTGCTAAAACTTCTAACCCATTCTGAGACAGCACACACTTGCCCTTTGCAATACTCACAGTGACCAAAAAAAAAAAA